ATCACCATAAAGTCCCATTAAATCATTATTTTTATCCCATTGAATACTGGGGTAGGTCAACCACCAAGTTACCATTCAATAGAGGGTATCCCATTACAATCCCATAATTTACCCGGAGTTATGTACCCAGCATTTCCCCTTCCGAACCCATCCCCGATGCGCAAAAAGAAGGCGCCTGGCTTCGTCGCCCTCACGGCCCTCGCGGCCCTCGCGGCCCTCACGGCCCTCACGACCGGCCGGCGCCTGCGGAGCCCAACGGGATGAGATAATCCATGGGATTCCTGGGATATCATATGGATATATCATGGAGATATCCAGTGAAATAGAAATACCCGGCCTGGTAATGACTGTTACATAGCTGTTGAAGCCATGGCCCATAGAAATAGTTGATTTACCTATTATAAATGGTGGATCTGTCCATAGTTTTCTGTATGTTTACCAGAGGGTAAATCCATGGAAAATCCGAAAAATCGATGGTTGAGAAGTGGAAAAAGTCAACATCCGGAAAATCAAATATGGAGATTGAAGGCTTGGTCGTCCACTTTGGAAAGCTCCAAGAAGAAAGCTGTCACCACCGGGTTCATGGCTTCAGTAGGCTTCATGGGGATTGGTTGATGGATCCCCCAGGTAAATTCACCAAAAATTGGGATGTCACCAGCTATATGGGAAATATCATGGAAAATTTCCCAGAAATATTATGGGAAATATGAAAAATTATGGGATTTTCCCATAATAGCCAGAGGGTATATCCCAGTATAATCATGGAATTCTGGGATATACCCTCTCTGGCTATTATGGGAAATGGCCCATAGAAATAGATGGCTTACCGTTCTTAAAAATGCTGCTTTTCCATGGCTATGTTAGTCATAACCAGATGGTAATTCAAATGCTATAGTTATTATCAATGGCCATTTCAGGTACCGATTTATTGGAGGTACCTACCATACACAAGGCCTATGTAAGGGCTATGTAACGGGATATTCCCACAAAATATTGCTTTATATGGTACAGTACCTCTAATCTAGGGTCTTGAAATTCCCATTGATGTTAGTTATGAACTGTGGTATGATATTGCTTCAACTATTCAAATGCGGTTCAACTGTGATCAAAAAAAAGTCCTGATATGAATGGGGTGATGGTTTAGGCTTCAGCGATAGATATGGATATTAAAAGGGTTACTGTGGTATGTTATTAGTACTATGATAAACGACACTTAGTGGCTTCGGGATGATGATGATGATGATGATGATGATAATGATGATGATGATCTAATATGGATGGACAAAAACACTATCTATCACTATCATCTGTGTGCCACCTTCATATCTATGGAAAAACCATCCATAGACCTATGGCCTAGGCCATAGGTCTATGGATGATGGGAAGATGGTTTTCCTATAGAAACCCCCAAAAAAGTCGAGGGTCAACACTGCACAGTATCATGTCAACCAGTGTATCAAGAAAAACCAGCTCAATCCAATACATGACCCATATCATCCCAGAGGTCAAAATTCCGGCTCATGCCGCCCGGTGGGATAAACAATGATAAAACATCTGGGCAAATTATAATAATTCACTAACCTGCATTCATAAAAATTAAGGCCAGCTATGGGGATGATTTTCCGCAATCTAACCATGATTCGCAGGCTTTGGGAAAGGCGATGTGAGGTTGTGATGAAATTTACCCTCTGGCAATTTAACAGTTTGCTATTGAAAATGGCCATAGAAATAGTTGATTTACCCATTAATAGCATGGTGGATCTTTTCATAGTTATGTGGCTGTTTACCAGAGGGTAAACCTCCATTTTCCTATGGGTTTTCCTATGTTTTCCCATTTTCCTATGGGTTTTCCTAAGCATCAA